TTAGAATCTAACTTAGGTACCTAAAAAAAGTTTCAGTTCAAAATATTTACCTTAAACATGAAACTTTCATAAAACACAAAACTTCTAAGCAATTTTGAAAACATGTTAAATAATTTATTTGGTTATTTTGAGATGCTTTGAAACAACCATAAACAATACCGTTATGCTTAAAATTTCAAACTCATTTTCAAATATCCAAAAAATAAATAAATAAAAAAAAAGACATTAAAACTATTTTTAGAAATGTAAAATTTTAAGAAAAATTGGTGTAAACAAATTCATCTAATGGGAGAAAATTAAACAGGTCGTTGCTAACTGAGCCTTTGGAATGTTGCAAAGGTATTATGCTCAATATAAAGAACATCAAGTTTATATCTATAGAATACTTTGAAAGACGGTATTTGGTTTTTTTACTTTTAAAAGTAAAAAATACTTTAACTATGATATTATGGTGGTGATTGGTAAGCCGAGTATTAATTTTAGTATTAGTAATACTTATAGAGCAATACAATCTCTTGAGTTGCTTAAAAGTCTAAATAAAATTCTAAAATAATAATCAATGATAAATTAATAACAATATCGATACAAACTACCTATAGTGAACAGTCATCATCAGCTGAGTTTTTTTCTAACAAATTAACCCAGATCCTGCTATAAAAGTATATTTATAATTTATCAATACTCTCGCGGGGATAATAATGTGAAACCAGTTGTTTAGTTTAAAAGGTTATACAATTAGTCAAATGCTGAATTATGGAATTGATTTTATAATAATTTAATCAGCCAAATAAACACTCCAAATCGAACAATTGATATTTGTAAAAAAAGTTCTCTATGGTTGATAATAAAATCAGCTTTAGGATAAAGGACAAGTATGTCTAAAATTTATTATAACAAAAACAAGAAGTTCTTTTCTTAAGGGGGAAAACCCCTCAAAAACTTATTTTCTGAAGTAAAGCATTAATAAAGTTATTACATGTTCCAAATAAAAGTATACTAAATGTTAAGAAGATCTATCATAAAAAATGGCACTCTGTTGCCATGGCAACGCGGTTACTAAGGGAAAATGTCAAATTAGTCTCTTCACCCTGGCAAAGATTGCAGTCAATTAGAATGATACTTTGAGCTGATTTTTTTCTAACTTATAGTTAAAAGATAGATCTATGCAATAAGCAGACAGTTTTTGAAAATAACTTTTCTGTCAGGTAGTAGGCCTGTTTAATTTTGGCAAAAATTTCAAGCACAAAAATGATAGATGTTTTTTTTAATTTCTTTAGTTTAAAAAACATTTTTAAAAAGTTGTCTGCTCATTGCATACATCTTTATGAGAGGAATACTCCCTGAAAATTTTATTAAAATCGGTCAAGCGGTTCTCAAGATACTTCTGCCGGGAGATTAAAAACACGCGTTCTGAGAAAAATGCCAAATAAGTTGAAATTGTGATGAAAAATATTATATAATAACAAAGATACAAAAAATATAATATAAAAAGAGCATACTGATTGTATTTTTTAATCATGAACACCAGCCCCATACAATTTCCCTTCTTTCTGTTCAACTTTGTCAAATTTTTTAAGCTTGCGGCTTCTTAAAATCTTCCTTTTTTTTTTTGATGGTGTCTTGATTTTTATACTCTGACATCATAACTCTTTTCTGGTTCAGGTAATTGCATCCAGAAATGGTATGTTGCCCTGGTATCATATTAAGTCTTTCAAATATAAGTATACTAGACTTTAATCCTATATTAAAGGCACCAATAGCATCATAGAGTCCAAATTTCAATTGCGTAAGCGAAACATACTTTGACTTAGGTATTCTAGACCATATCATTGCATTAAAACTTTCATTTTGATTCTGTGTTCTTCCATGAAGCAAACGATTTAAATAAGCATCTGATGTTAGTTCTACATAAATGGGCTTTAACTTGTGTACTATTTCAATAGGAAGACCTGGTCCGGGTTTATACTCTTTGGTTCCATTAGCTTTATCTCGATTGTATTTACACCAACTATCTGTTCCTGTGGGACAATGCGGGTAATGCCAATTATTTTTGCTTGAAGATGCTACATGAAATAAGCTAGCCAAAGCTGAAGATCTCATACCTTCAAGGTTGCCACAATTTTGCCTAATGCAAATACCAAAATAATTTTGCAACCGATCAATTGTAGCGTTTGTTAAACCGCCTTTACCATTTAAACCCTTGACTTGCTTTTTTAATTGTCTACAACGAGATCCAATGCGCTTTTGAAAATGTCCAATACAATCTAGTTTAATTACTTCAATACCCTTGTATGTGTTTTTGACAGAAGTGTAGCTTTTGCTATCACCATCACCCAAGTATTCTGTGTATCGTAAATTAAATTTTTGCAAAGAGCGATTAAATATCTTTATTGCCCCAACTGTTTCCATTCCACCGGCTGATCCTTCATAGTTTTTATTGCAAATATGTGATTTTTTTGCTGTTAGCTGCTGCTTTGAATTACCAACATCTTGATTTTTGTCACATATTTTACACTTTCTAGATAATGCTTCAACATCTAAAACCTTCCCATTTTTAATTGATAATGCTGCCGTCACCCCATTGTGTGAATTAAATCCTCTTTTTTGCCATGTTCCATTAACAGAAACTCCAATATCTAAGATCTCATTAAGAGATTTGCCTTCTCTGAGTTCTTGTACAGCTTCATTCATAGTTTCAACAGCAACAGTTTGTGCTGCAGTTGCCAATTTTTGAACAATAACATTATAGCTTTTATTGCATAATCCTTTTGGGATATTCATAAGAGTGGCAAACCGATGTAGATAAGCTTGGCCTTGACCAAGTGTTCTCATGGCATACACTAATCTTTTGTTAATATCAAACCCTGCTACATTTTTTGATGTGTCAAAGTCTAACTTGAAACCACAAACACAATTTAATGATAAATTTGATGCATATCTTTTCATATGCAAGACTTTTTATTTTCGCTTAACGACAACTGTGATGGTCGCAAACATTCTGGACACCCAAGTTTATCAAAAATGGAAGCAAGAATTTCTAAATCGATAAACCTGTAGCCACTGACACATTTTGAGTTTCCACTTGGAGCCATTAGTTGCTTTACTTTTTTTTTTGATGCACTTTTAAATACACTTTCACTTTCAATATTTACAGAGTCTACCATATTTTCATTATTACTATTTACATTATTTACACCAATATTTACACATTTTTCTTGCTTTCTTAAAACAGAAAATGTACATTTACGTTTTCGAAGACGTTTTGTAGAAAATTTTACTCTATCACTTTTATATTCAGTTTTAGACTTGTCCATTTTTTTTAATTATATAGAAAGCTTGAGTTGATTGTGTAGAAGCTTGAAAAGATGACTAATTTTAGCACTATCAGTCAAATATGTGGTTTTAAAGTATGGCTTTAGATATAATGGGAAGCATTTCAAACTAAACTGCAAAAAAAAAGCGGATAAAAAGCTATACTAGATGTGTTTTATTCACAGTTTTTCTGTAACTAGGGGCGTTGCTAGGTAATTTTGAACTCAGGTGGTTGTACAAAAGTGTCATTTATTGATATAAAAAATAGCGATTTTCGAATAAGGTTTTTACCATTTGATTTCTTAATAGATTTACTTTTAAAATATCTGGAAAAAAAAAATTGAAAAAAAAACTTTTTCTGAGAGGTTTTCCCCCTTAACTATGTTAACTCGCGCAATAAAGTCAAAAATGTATGCAAAAATGTATGCAAAAATGAAATAAACTCATTCGAGAGAACATTGATTTATAAAAAAGAATTAAATCTAAAAAGCTTTTTATAGTTATGTAAAAAACGAAAGTAAAAAAATTAGGTTAACCAAATATTTGTTCCAACAATAAAACTAGCAAAAACAATAATTCAAAGTCCGTGTATTCAACAGTTTTTTTACCTCGGTTTTTGGTCATGAAGAGATTTTTTTTTTGTATGAAAGTGTTACTAAAATCTCTTCTAACATTGATTTATCTCCAACTAGACACTATAGCAAACTGGATATTAAAAAAAACTGAGAAAAAATATGGAAACTAAGCTTTATTCTAAAAAACTTAAATTTATGCACATGGAATAAACAAATGCAAAATTCTTTTATGCACTCATCGATACAAATCTTAATTTGTCAATTAATTTAAAAAACTCTCTCGTCGAAAAACACCTTTGCCTCTTCCTCGTCTGTAATTTGACTTTTTTTCTTATGTTAATTTTAGATTAACACCGCAAATAAAATTGTTACAATGATCAAAAGACCATTTTTAAATCTCAATATCTCGTCATGTTGAACTTTGATTACTTTCCTTGTTCTTCCACACCTCGGTTAATGTAGCTCTGTCTATTATCCTAGGCTTAAAAAGATCATAGAAGACCTAATAAAACTGTTCTTGTCTAGGCTGGTTTCACTTATGAACAAAAACTACTGAAACTAAATTTAACTAGCATGATTTGTCATTTTATAAATAATGATATAAAATTATAAATGCCCTCACAATTTTTAAAAATGCAGATACAAACCCTATATGTCCTCATAAAATACTATTCAGTATCGCTCCATAAACACTCCCGGTCACACCTATAAATTTAAATTTGTTTTTTGTACGCCAGATGTAAGGAAAAACTTGTTTAGTATGCATATCACATACTTGTGGCATATAGCCTACTATATCAATTAGTATATTTAACATTTGCCGCCATTTAAAACACATCTAGATGCTTATTGGAAACATCAAATGTAAATCAAAAGTACATATAAACGATTAGAACGTTAAAAGTTTATGCAAACATAAGGTTGAAAGCATAACTATACCCAACTATTCTATTTGTAAAATCATAAACTTAGAAAATAATAATGATAAAAATAATAATAATTCTTATGGTAAATATTTTTATTACTAAGTTTACTTAGTGAACTGAAAGTTCACTAAGTTTTAAATTAAAATTTATTTGGTTTATTGGTGATAAAATTTTATTATTTTTTTAGAAGTGGAGAAATATATCTGCGTGTAAATATAATAACAAATCCAGAATGTTTAAGCTATTTTCAGAATGTGAAAATCATCATGCAACCTGAGTCACTGTTAACTTTCAAGAGATTTGTTTGGCTTGGTTCAAGAATAAATGCTTCTAATGTTCAGGAAAACGGCAAATCTTTTATTATTAATGTAAATATGCTATATTATTCTTTTTTTTTTTTAAACATTTATTTCGCTGCTCATACAATCAAAAAATATAAAATACAAAAAAACAAGTTTTCAAATGCGCAGAAACGCTTTCATTAAATAAAAAAAAAAAGCTTTACATATATAGACAGGGACGCAAAGAAGATATGGCTGACCAAAGTCATCGCAATCTTTTCTTAGAACCCCTAAGATCCCTTTAGTATATTAAATATTTTTAATACTAACCATTAGTAAAAATGTAAATAAAATAAAAAAATTATTGTAATTGTTGTTTAATAATTTTTTAATAATAAAAAAATATTGTAATTGTCAATGAAACATTATAAGAGTTTCTTTAAAGCTATTCGCACTCTGAAAATTTAATCAATAGTGTTCTTATTTTGATCAAACTTTTAAAGCGCAGTTTTCCTTTCTTATCGTAAGTGTTTGACACTTATCGTATATACTGTTGACACTTATTGTATATCTTAAAATCAACTTTGGTGTCTGGTTTATAATGATCTCACGGTTTCAAATAAAAGAATAATATTTCGGTCAAAATAGTCTTAAAATTAGTGGTAAGTTTGCAATAATTCACATAGAGCTGAAAAATGGTACAGACGTTGGGGACATTATTAAAAATAAATTGTAAAAAGTCCCCACAGATTTAACATCTGAAAAAAAAGTTATGTAAGATACAAAGATAAAAAATTTTGTCGCTTTGATAATGTATTTTACTATTTACAAAAAAAAAAGTTTCTGCGGCTTTTTTCTGATCTTGGATTAGAAAAACAAAATATTGCTAAGTTTTAGGGGTTTTTATTTTTTGTTCAGCCGTTCTATAATAAATTACATTTAATTAAAATTAGGTTTTTATAATTGTGATATGTTAAAAAAGAATTTAAGAATACTAGCTGTCATGACCCGTAAAATACGGGTCTTTAGGATATTGATGCACACTTTATCCGCGTGCTTACAGTTCATAAGAACTCTTATCCGGCTTTTAACGCAAGAAAATTTCAATCAAATGAAAGCATCTAAATGATAACTTTTAATGTCCTAGATGCGAAGATTAAACTTATTGATTGCGTAAACACTAACTTTAACATAAATGGCATTTGCGAGACACTTCTTGCAACTTATGTCAAAATTTAATGGTGACTCTAAAATCCTAAAGGATAGGGGGGAGACGCTTTTTTTGAGAAAATATTTATACCCACTCCAAACTTACTAAGCCACACCAACCCTCGTTTATTAATCCTTACTTATCAAGTCTCCTTAAAAATAACAATTGAAAATAGGCATTTTCCCTTAAATTCTAAAATATTTTAATTAAAACTGAGAAAATTGTTTTTATTTCAATAAATGATAAAAACAAAAACAATCAGTTTTAAAAGTCATCGACCTAGTAAATCTGGATTTGTCGAAAATGGGCTTTATTTCTCTCTAAATCTAAAATTTATTTTAGCATCACTAAAATTTATATTAACATTTCAAATTTCAAATATTTAAAATGGTGCTTTGTAAAAAGTATTAGTTGAAATTTTATATTCAACTTACATTCCCACCCCATTTCATATATTAGATTTGGACTAAAATTCTTACAGGACCCTTTTTAAAAAAAACTACAGTAAAAAGAGGATTTTAACCATTTATTAAACTATATTAACCATTTATTAAACTCAAGGGGAGAGGGTGTTAAGAAATGGCCAAATAAAAACTATCGTTATCGTTGTTGCTTTTTATAGCTATATTACTATTAAGCCAGAATTGTAAAATCGAGAAAAAAGAAATCTTTATTTGACTTGAAAATTTCAAATGTTATATGTAAAAGTTTTTAAATTTTTAAAAATGTTTTTATAAACAAATATAAACAACAAAATTTTTTTTGTGAATATATATTTGATTTAATGTTAAAGACTTCACAACTTATGGTTCGTTGCAAAATCACTTCACTGATTCGAAATAGACAGTAACTACGTAGTTGTTATTACAATATTTATTAACAATTAACGATGAAATATAGTTCCAAAAAAAAAAGGTAATTAAGGTAATTACAGATTATGGTAAAAAAAATGCTAAAATGCTTAAAAGATATAAATTACTTTGACATAATATTTGGTTCGTAGAAGGTCGTTTATTTATTTGGAAGCCAAAAATAAAGTTGATTTTTATAACAATTAAACTAAAATTTAAAATCAAGTATAAGCAAAATAAATTTATTAAACTAATTTTTCTTAGCTCTTAGTGAATGATTAAAAGTAATTAGTCTCAGCAATGAAACTATCTAATAATCATTTTTAACAACAGACACCAACGTGAAGGTGAGCTAAGGAGTCTGTCAAAAAAATATTTGTGTTTTTCTATAAACATATGAAGCACATCTCTTTAATACTGTCATGTCATGTAATTGTCAATTGTCAACTGTTTTTTTTTTTTAAGTAACGAAGAATGGCTTTGCAGTAAAAATATCCAGTATCAAAGACTGGTTTTTTAACCAGTATCAAAGACTGATTTTTTCCCAGTATCAAAAACTGGTTTTTTAACCAGTATCAAAGACTGGTTTTTTAACCATTACCAAGGACTGGTTTTTTAACCAGTATCAAAGACTGGTTTTTTAACCAGTATCAAAGACTGGTTTTTTAACCAGTATCAAAGACTGGTTTTTTCCCAGTATCAAAGACTGGTTTTTATTGCAGTATCAAAGACTGTTTTTTTAACCAGTATCAAAGACGGGTTTTCTAACCAGTATCAAAGACTGGTTTCTGGCTTAGCAACAACAAAAACAGTAAGTCAAAAATAAAAATGGCTGTGTTGTTATTTGTCAAAATGTATTGTCTCTAGTAGTAAAAATAAAAGTTATAGTTTATCAATTAAGTACATTTGTAAATACAACATTTTGTGTGTAAAATTTGTTTAATGACATACCTTGTAATGAATGTTTATCAACTTTAAAAAATAAACTATTAAACGATCTTGTTCTTGAACATGCAACATATAATTGACCGTGTGAAAAGCAAGGCTTTTTAAGATAAACTCCAACTTTGTCAAAAGTTTGACCTTGACTTTTGTTTATGGTCATTGAGTATGCTAACTGGAAACTGACGACGTTTGACTATAAAGGGTAAATTTGAATCGATGGAGCTAATTGAACTCGAGGAACAAAGATCCTGTTACCAGCTGCTACCCCTGTTAGAACCTGTCCATCAATATAATTGTTGTGCAGTGCACGTACCATCAAACGTGTTCCATTACAAAGTCCACCTTTAAGATCTAAATTTCTAAGTAGCATTACAACAGCACAAATTTTCAATTTTAGGCAATGAACAGGCATACCTGATGGAGTCAAACTATTTAAAAACTCGACTGGAAAATTATAAATTTCATTATGATCATCAGTTTCAATGCTACCTGAACTTAAGTAAATTTTAGTATCACCAGGTAAACGATCAAGGACTTCTTCATTTATCGCCAATGAATCAACATTTGTTGGTGTTAAAATAACACGGTTAGCATAATCAGCTTCCTCTGCGCCATCAAAAATCTTTTCCACAATAGATTTGTTATCGTTTACAAAGCACTGCTCAGTTATTTCAATACACCCTCGCAAAGGATCTTCAGGCTTGACAGGTAAAGTTCCATTTCCAAGCTTTAGAAGCCATTGAAAAAATTCCTCTTCTCCTATCTGAACCCTCATATTTTCAGTTAATAAAAATCTTTGCACATACTGCCAATGTTCAGAACATTTTATACATGATTCTACAACTTCAGCTGGTCGACCTCTTTTCACAACTGGAACTATTTGTCTAAAGTCTCCACCTATAAGAATAACTTTACCACCAAAAGGAAAGTTATTATTACAAATATCTTGTAATAACTTATCAATGGCACTTAAAGCATGTTTAGGAATCATAGATTCTTCATCAAGTAAAAACAAACTTACTTATCTAAGGAATTCATCATGAATAGAATTGGAGTTACATTACATGTGCTATTTTCCGAAATTGGCACATTAAGTTTGAACCAGCCATGCAGTGTGCATCCATTTTTAAGAAGAGTTGCAGCTATTCCTGTCCATGCAGCTGTTGCAGTTCTAATATGTCTGATGCGTGTTTCAGTGATTAAATAATTGTAAGTAAATGTTTTACCACAACCAGCAGGCCCATCCATAAAAAAAAATCTTGAATGCTTATTTTCATTATTGGTTTCTTCATTAAATGCAGCAAGGATTGCATCAGCTACATTACGCTGATTATCATTTAATAATGGTCTAACTCGATTTGCTTCATCAATAAATACCTGTACATCTTCATCGTCATTTTCTGGGATAGAATCTAAAAACTGATCTAAAGTAGGCAAATTATAATCAGCTAAAGTTTTACCACTCTGATTAATTATAGATTCAATTTGACAAAGAGTTACTTGTTCAGCAAGTAGGACTGGCATTGAACGGTGTATGTAATCCTCCACCATATAATCTTTAAAGGTATTCCATAGGTGTAAAGGATCATCAGGTTGACATAATGTCAATATGATGGAAAACAGTTGCCTAATTTGTTTAGGCAATCCAGTTGCAACAGCCTCAGTTAATGAATTTCTCCATTAAATGTCATCTTGCAACAGACCTAACTGATAACACGCTTCACGAAATGTATTAAAAACAGTACCATTCACAGTGCTCAAATTCTCGAAAGATAATGCACCTTTTACATGCAAAAGCAACAATCTAAGAAAAAATACTTCACTGTTTAGATTGACTTTATACATTCGCACTATCACCATATCACTACCTCTTTGTCTTACTTTCCACTTCCAATTTTTACCATCAAACACAAAGTGATATGGAATTTCAATATAAGAATAGCGACGTGCTTCAAAATTTTCAGCATTTAATTTAAACCAAGCGGGTAGGTGAGTGTCACGCTGTGCTGCACGATTAATAGCTACTCGTTCTTCTCCCTCGTTAAAATATACTATCTGATTATCAGGAAGGTGCACTTGAA